GGGAGAAAAGTGCAACAATGAATGAATGGAAATTCAAAGTTGCTGTAAATTTCCATTGACATTAATAATAAATTTTAAAAAAACACAGCATTTAAAAAAAAAAAAAAAAGACTTGCTGCCTTTGAACCGTAGTGCTGGAGGAGAGCGTTTGGGACATCCCGTGGATTGCTGAAAGGACAAACAGATCTGTCCTGGAGGAAGGGCACCAGGGTGCTCCGTGGAGGCAAGGGTGGGGCCACTCACCCCACACACTTTGTGCATGTTGTCAGGAGAACACTCCATGGGGAAAGCTGTCAGGCCGGAGAAACAGAGGGCCAAGGGCGAAGGGGGAAGATGCCACTGAGGACTGACAAAGCAATGGCAGCAATGGTTTTACGTGTAGCAGAGGGTGAGGAGGGCGCCACCGCGCTGGGCAGGGCTCCAATCGGTCGGACACAGGGATTTGTGAGTTAGAACTGACTAGACAGTACTGACTAATGTTTTCTCTTCTTAAAGTCTTGCAATAGCTCAGAACTAAAATTCTGATAAAATACACATGAAAATAGGAGGAAATGCTGCATAAATAGACAAAGCCCACAGAAAGCAGGTCCCAGCTACTGTTGCTTCCCGAGCTGTGTCCGTCCCCATCACCTCCCCTTTGAGTACTTCCACGCGGCCACACGGGCTCCAGACGGCCACAGCCCAGTGTCCCCAACGCCAACCGAACTTCTCATCAGCTTACTATCCGAGGCTTTCGTCCTCACTGGGTAAGCCTCAAATCAACACCCTGGGAGCTCTGGGACCACCCACCAACACGGCGTGTGACGAGCAGCCGAGTCACCCAGTGTCCACGCACCCGTCAGGGGCAGACTCCTCGCTCTGCACTGCTCCTTCCACTCCTACACTGTCCACACGTGTCCTAGCCCGCCCGCCCTTCTGAGGACCTTCCTGGTCTATTTAGTACCACTTTCTTAGACTTCCTGGTCTATTCAGTGCCACTTTTTTTTACTTTGTGCTTCTTGTTGGTGATTTTGCTATTGAAAGTGGCCCCCAAATGCAGTGCTGAGGTGCTAGTTAAAGGTCCTAGGCCTCACAGAGAAAACATCCATGTGAGACAGGCTTTGCTCAGGACGAGGTAAGTGTTGCTGGTGGCAGGTGCGACGCGACCACCAACTAGATGAACTAAGGTCTCTCAGCCCACAAGCACAAAGGCAGGAGTCGCCCAGCTGAGGAAAGCGCTGTGACCAGAGTCTCACAGAAGCTCAGCCCTGAACTCCTGCAGGGAGCAAGGCCTCAGTATTCGCTGATTCCACATCCATGGCGCCTGTGTAGAGCGTAATTAGCCAGACTCAGAACTGACGGCAGATAAAGCCAGTCTCCTGGTTGGTCTCCTGTTCCAGGTTCTTCTAGCCTGGGGTAGGCCTTCGGAACCCACCGGCCAGTCGGTGGGATAACGATGAATCAGCCTGCTCTGTGAAGCAAGTTGCTGTTGGTGGTGGGCGACACTGCACTGCTCCCAAGACTCATCTCAGTGACTCCGTGGACGAGAGAACGAAGCACTGCTCTCCCCTGAGCCACCACACTCCTGTGGCCTTGAGCCCCGTGGGACAGGTCTGCTCTGTCTGTTGGGGTCACAATAAGTGGGGTTTTCTGGCTAGTGGGTATGATGTGGCCTACCCTATTAGCCTCGACCTGGTCACTAAGGTCACCCCAGCTCTGCTCCCACAAGCCCAGCAGATGGGACACCAGTCTCTGTCCCTGTAACCTACACTGCAAGCCCACGCCGTACCGATTTCATAAAAGTATAGTCTGTCCACATACCCTTAAAAATAAGAAGCCTTTGGAAAGCAAACCTCGAGGTCACAGAGTTAACGGTTTCATTCACTGAAAACATACTAACATAAACTAGATTCCACTTACATCAAGTCCTCCCTGGGCGCTGTCCGGGCCAGCTGGTCTTCCTGCTCCTTCATTTTATCCACAGCTTGGGCTTGCTTTTCAATTTCATTAAAGCTTTTGTTCTCCAGTTTCTGGGCTCCCAAACTTCCTTTTTTGGCCCCGAGCTAGGAGACACACGAGATGCTCATGGACCCTCTCTGTGTGAGAACATCAGGGACACTGACTGTGGTCCACTTCACGCCGGGGCCCTTCCTGCTGGGACAGCACCCCACAGACGTGCTCCTGCCTGGTCCTCACAGCTCTGTGAGCTGGTCCTGGTGCCATGCTCCGTTCACGGATGAGAAGAAAACTGAAGCATGTTCACAGGTGACTTGGCCAAGATAACCCGGCCAGTAAGCCACTCACACCCAGGGTTCAAACCCCGGCACCTGCGCAGAGCCGTGAACTCATGACTTATTGAAAGATTCCCAGATGCCTGCTCAGCCTCACAAAACGTGACTGCACAGAAACGTACACAGCACGATCTCCCTGGGAGCCTTTGCGAACGTCTTTATTTCCTGTTGGGGTGTTTGGGTTTTTGGGGGGGAGCATCTTTTTCCATAGACTGCAGAAAGATAAAACCCTAGTGGTATAGAAAATACCCATCAGGATTAACAATCACTACTGTGAACAAAATAGAATTCTCCCGCCAAGCCACACCGATGGAGCAAAAGAAAAAAACATAAATAGCTAAAAACCAAGAGCAGGGGTGGCTTTCCTGAGCACAAGCGATTCTAGAGCTGAGAAGCCAAGCCTTTTCCACATCATACTCACTCCTTTTTTAGCTGGATTTGGTTTCTTTTTAATGATGGAAGAAATCTCTGCCAAAAAGTAAAAAGAAATTAATCAGAATTGGTGATTGCATGTTTAGTGAGATCTGAATTTTTTTTAATGTTGTACATTGTCATTATCCTTTAGGAAGGCATGACATCCCTACGCTTGCTTCCTAGAAGATCTAAGTTTACCGCTGCTGCTGGGCACATTTTCACCACTGGTAATATGTTCTGTTCTTAAAATGATATTTAAGAGACTGGCAATTTTATTTTAAATTTTCTAAAAAAGATACTATCTTTTTAAAATTTATTATTATTATTATTATTATTATTTTTGTGGGTGTACCATCAAATCAGGTCTGACTGATATAGGAGGAGATTGTCCCTCCTTCTCCAGCAGAACATCTGGTGGATTAGAACCACACACCTCTGGGATTGCAGTGCAGCTTCTTGCCACAAGGCCACCAGAGCTCACCAAAAGATACTATCTTTTAAGTGGAAATCTAAGAACAGAAACGCAGCCCCCGTGAGTGGATAACATCCCTACACTCCAAGGGGGAGAGAAATGCCCCACATTTTCTTTTGGTCACTCGCTCTTGGATCTGAATCGTAGAGGTTACAAGACTTATCCCCAGGACTTGTCGACCAGGTGACACATGAGGAGCATGGACGGAGGACCCTCGCTTAGTTTTCATCAAGGCACAGGTTTTCCAATGAATGAGGTGTAATAAGTGCCAGCCCTGAGTGAATTAAAATTCCCTGACAGTAAGTATAATGTTAAAGATTAAGTTCACTTATTATAGCATCAAAAAGGCAAGAAAATGCTAAGAGTCCTCGAGTCCGCAGGGATGCTGAGGGAGGTCTGACCCCTGCTTTCACACCGGGAACATGAACCCCGCTGGACGCTGGGCAGCAAACCACAGGCATCAGCGTGGTCACGGGCAGGTGCACCGTCACTGCTTTCACAGGCATGCAGCTGGCGAGGCCTGAACAGCAGTTCTTATTCCACAGAGAGGCAATGATAGCTGGGGTTACAGAGCTCAACTAGTGAATGAATCACCGGCTCCGTCTTACTGAACTCCAGAATCAGACCACTGTGCGTACCTGAAGCTGCCTTGGGCGGGGCGTTCAGACCCTCCACGTTTGGTCCTCGTTCTGGTTCACCTGCAAGTCAAGCAAGAGGTTGTCAGGGCAGGAACAGACTCCCCGACTCAGCCATCTGCAGCATTATGTTCCCATCTTTAGCCTGTGTTTACGGAGCAGATGCTGGGCTCGCTGTTCCGGGGTCAGGATATTTTACGTACTCTAGGCTCTGTCTAACATACTTTGGACATGTTGTGACAAGAGACCGGTCCTTGGAGAGGGACATCATACTTGGTAGGGTGGAGGGACAGCGCAGGAGGGGAAGACCCTCTATGAGGTGGACTGATTCAGTGACTGGGGTAACTGGGATAGGAGTGTCAGAGACAGTGAGATTGGCACAGGATAGAGCAGGGTATAGGGCTGTTGTACATAGGGTCGCTATGAGTCGCAGGCTACTCAACGGCACATAACAACAATAACAACAACAGTATTTCCAAGTTCTTTCTCATATAAATGCTGTGCTTTCATTTAGCAATTCTCAGGCCCTGGGGACATGGTGGCACAGTGCATGGTGAGCTGCGTTTCTAACCCAAAGGCCTCGTGTCTGCAGCAGCTCAAATCCACCTTGTGAGAAAGAGGGATGGTCTTCACTCCTTACAATTCACACGCTCGAGAGTCACTCTAAGTCCCTCAATGGCAGTGAGTCAGACCGAGTGAGGCCCCTGACTGTGCAGTGGATGACCCACTGTGGGCCTCACTGCTCGGACCCTGGAGGGGCATCCGTGAGCAGGAGCCTTCGAGCAGAGCAATTCAGGCCCACGTTCCATTCGTGAAACTCTCTTTTCCTCTCTTTTTTCTCATTGTGTAATCCTCAAGTCCACTGTCAGGGGCTTCTGCAAAATAGGGAGGAGCAGTGATGTCAGTTTTAGGACCAAGGTGCACCCGATTCAGGCCACGCATGGTCTTTTCTCAGTCATGCATCTAAGAGCTGGACTATACATAAGAATGATAGATTATTTTTTTATTTTATTAATTTTTTATATGTGTACCGTCAAATCTGATCTGACTGGTACAAGAGGAGATTGCCCCTCCTTCTCCAGAAGAGCACCTGGTAGATTTGAACCGCACACCTCTGGGACTGTAGTGCAGCTTCTTGCCACTAGGCTACCAGAGCTCCTGAGAATGATGGAAGATTTGATGTCTTTGAGCTGTGGTGTCAGAGGAGAGCACTGAACATCCCATGGATGGCCAAAAGAACAAAATATGTCTTGGAGAAAGTGCAGCCAGAATGTTCCTTTGAAGCATGTCTCAGACACTTTGGATGTGTTGCTAGGAGGCGCTATAGTTCTGGGATATCGTGCTTGGGAGGGTGGAGGGACAGTGAATGAGAGGACCCTCAACCAGGTGGACTGACACAGTGACTGTGGCCATGGGCTCTAGTGTGTCAGGAACTGTGAGGATGGCGTGGGACAGGACAGGGGTCAGATCTGTCTTCACAGGGTTGCCAAGCACCGAACTTGACTCCACGGCTTCTAACAACACTGGTGTTCTCCAGAGGCCAGCCCCTCCTGATGACGTGTCCGAGGGGTGTCCGACAAGCCTCACCATCCTTGTGTCTGAAGAGCATCTGACTGCACTTCTCCCAAGAAGCTTTGTTCGTTCTCTGGCCGACCTCGTTGGTCCGTATTCCTCTCCAAGACCACAACCCAGAGGCACCGATTCTCCTTCGTTCGTTCTTAGTCATTGCCTGGCCATCTTACCGTAAATGATCTTGCATTTCTGTTAACAAAATCAGCTGAAACATCAGGCCTTTAGAAGTTAAATGTATCTCATGTGACATGGACCCTTTAACATCAAATAGGCCTTTTATGCTACTGAGTTGTCACGGCGACAACAATCAAATTACCTTCTATATTGCTATAAAATACATAGCTTATTAAAAAAAGAGGATGAAAGTCACGCAAATGCCGAGGACTTTCTTTCATAGGGTCGCAGTCTAGGACTCAACAGCACTTAACAACAACATGAAAAAAGATACATAGTTTGGGGGGGTGGGCAGGGAGAAAAGTGCAACAATGAATTACTGGAAATCCTAAGTCTTTGCAAACTTTCATTAAAATCAAGAAATAAATTTTTTAAAAAGGTACATAACTTATTGTCAGGATAGTGGGATTGTAGGAACTAAAACAGCCACAATCCAGTCGGAGGTTTATTTACATCTTCTTTGTAGACAGGTATTTAAGGTCACACATTTTTGGTGAAGTCATACATTGTTCATCATACAAAAAATAGTTATCACCATATTAAGGAAACCAAGCCTACTGTCTGCATGGGAAATTCAAGTGTATCTTCAGTTTAGAATTTTTCTTAGTTTGAAGATAATTTTGTAGAACAGAAATGGTAAATTTGTATCCAGTCGAATGTGTCCATCTTTTCCTCACAGGAGGCTTGAGTACACACCCCCGAGACTCTTCCACAAGGGTAGTCAAGGTCACCGTGTCCTCCCCTAATGCAAAGCTTTCATGTCTAATAATTACGTCCATGCCCCACGGGGATTCAGTTTGGTGTAAGAAGGGAGGAAGGAAGGAATTCATTAGGTCTTTTTTTTTTAACCTCAAAATGCTAGCCAGTTGTCCCCACTCCGTTTCTGTTCCTACAGTGTGAAGTGTCCCTTCCCTGACCACTGACACAGCTACTGGAACAATGAAGAACTGGGGTTTCAGAACTGGGGCTCCACCTTGGAGGGACAACGCAAGACCAGGAAAGGCACCCCTATTCTATATTGCACTCTCCATGACTCCGCTCCAAAGGAGCTCAAAACCTGTCTATATCTTCTAGGAATCTCTTCTTGATTAATGTTACTCTCTGACATTCTGGAAAACTCTCTCTGGGCAATCTTCTCAGCACCACACTGCTTGAGAACTGGTGGGCTGCCTTGTCTTCTCCATTATGCCAAGTGCCCTAGAGTTAGCCTCACCCCAGCACTTCTGATGGTCCCACACCTGCCAGTTCACCACCACAAATGCCAAGTGTACATTTGTGTTGCTAATTACCAAGAACACTCTGGCTAAAACAAGGTGTTTCATTTGAAAACAGAAAGAGTTTGCATCTTGTTTAAGGTTATTTATGTTTTGTAAATCATTTTAAAGTGTTTAAGCAATGGATATATTTTTATAATAACTCTAATGCCTTGGTGGCGAGGATTCTGGGGCTTCGTCTAACATACTTTGGACATGTTGCCAGGAGGGACCGGTCCTTGGAGAGGGACATCATGCTTGGGAGGGTGGAGGGACAGCGCAGGAGAGGAAGGCCCTCTATGAGGTGGATTGATTTGGTGACTGGGGTAATCGGGATGGGTGTGTCAGAGGCAGTGCGATTGGCACAGGATAGAGCAGGGTTTAGGGCTGTTGTACATAGGGTTGCTATGAGTTGCAAATGACTCGACGGCACATAACAACAACAACTCTAATGCTGGAGTTAACAAATAAAATTAAGTGTGAATCACTGTTTTGTTAGGTCCAAGCCGCCTCCTGCTCATAGCAGCGCCCTCCTGTGAGCAGAACCCTGCACCATCCCTGTTCTTGTGCACTGTCGAGTCGGAGCTGACCCATAGCTGACCCTCCAGCGGGTTTTCAGAGGCAGTTAATCACACAGGAGATTGCCCATCCTTCTCCTGCGGGGCAGCTGGTGGCCTTGAACCACATGCCTTCAGGACTGCAGCACAGCTTCTCGCCACTAGGCCACCAGAGTTCCCTGGAGCAGAGGAACCCAGCACCATCCTCATTAGGTCTCAACTATCTACAGAACAGGGTGCTCCGGTGGCTTAGGGGTAAGGAATTGTGCTTCCAGTGCAAAGGTATGTGGTTCAAACGCACCAGCTGACTCATGGAAGAAAGATGGGCTGCTTCCTCCCATGCGACTTACAGCCTCTAAAACCCTGCTGGACCACAGATTAAAACAGGCGGGGGAGCCTACAGCGAAGGATGGTCAGCCTGCAGAAGCAGCACAAGGGCAGCAAGTTGAGTGACTTTTAAAAGAGCTGCTGCCGCCTGCGGACCAGCAAGAAGGAAGTGAAGAGAGCTGGAAGGCTTAGCACAAGTCAGCTCCAGCTTGCTGCTATGACAACAACGTTTACATACAGTGCTTGGCTTTGAGTTTTCACTGAAATCTCGGTATTGGAGAAAAAAAGCAAAATATCAAAAATGCAGCCACTATAGCAATGAATCCCAGAGCACTTAACTGGGCTCATGTCAAATCTGACCAAGAAACAGTTGTCGGAACAGAACAAAGGAGTCAGGAAAGGTGTGCTTCAGGGTTCTAGCCTTTCTCCACTCTCGGTCAATCTGTGTGCTGGACAAATCGTTTGAGAAGCTGGGCTTTATGAGGAAGAACGTGGTATCAGGACTGAGCAGACTCATCAACAACCTGCATTACGTAGCTGCCACAACCTTGCTGGCTGAACGTGCTGAGAGGACTTGAAAGGCTTGCTGGCAAAGATCAAAGACTACAGGCTTCAACAAGGTTTACATTCTCACATCAAGAAAACAAAAATCCTCACCACCGGGCCAGCAGGTAACATCATGAAAGATGGAGAGAAGTCTGAGGTTGTAGTGATTTCAGGTGTGTGTGTGTGGGGTGGGGGAATCCACAACCAGCACACAAGGGAGCGGTCAATAAATCAATAGACTTGTTGCACTGGGAACACCTGTCCTCAAGCGTCTCCTTAAAGGGCAAGGACGTCAGTTTAAGGTTTACGCCTGACCCGAGCCCTGGTATCTTATGCATCTGAAAGCTGGGACAGCAAATAAGGATGACAGAGGTACTGAGACCTTTGAACTGTGGTGGTGGCGAAGAGCACTGAAAATCATGGAGGGCCAAGAGACCAGCAAGTCTGTCTTAGAGAGGGTGTGACCAGGCTGCTGTTACGGACGTGTCATGTCTCACTACTTCGGGCATGTTGTCGGGAGGGAGCAGTCCTCGCAAAAAGACATTATGGTGGGAAAGTGCAGGGTCAGTGAAGGCAAAGAAGACCCTTGGCAGGAAGGACTGATACAGTGACTGTCACAACGTGCATCGGACACAGTAAGGGCGGTGCAGGACAGGGCAGGAGTTGGATCCGCTGTCCACAGGGTTGTCAGGCACCGCCATCAACTTGACGCCACCTCGCAACCACACCACAGAAATCTATCAGCCAGAAACTGAAAATGCCCGACCATTTCAAATGATAATTAACAGTCTGGACTGTTCCTTCCATAGCATCCCACACGCGCATGTGCCTGTGTGTGCGTGCGTCTGTCTGTCTCCGCACTGCATCATTTCCCGCAGGCATCTTCAGCCGTCAGCACACACAGATCTGCGTCTTTAGCCACGAGCCAGGCCTCCCAACCACAGAGCTGCACCCGCCGCAGTTCGACGGACCCTACCTTCATTATCCTCTGGAGCGGTGCCCGCGGCCCTAGGTGCCAGAGAAGCCAGCTCCGGCTGTGCTGATGCCCACGATGTGTCACTTCCCTGAAGGAAGGTCATTAACAGACAAAGAAAGCAAGCCATTAGAAGTTATAAAACCAAATCAAAAGGGGGAGAGGGGCCGGGGAGGGAAGGCGGCTAACAAGTTCCACAGCCACTTCTGAGTACCTGCCTCAGAGGAAAGGAAGAATAACGTTAAAACATGCCTATTCTCAAATGGTACTAGTGCTCAAATGTCTTATTTCTTCCTCTTTTAAAAAACTACTTCCTTTAGAATCACTTTAGGACAGAAAAGTTGAAAGCTGGTCCAGGGCATTCCTCCCCAGCTCCCTCTAACTTCAGAGCAACTGCAAACCCAGAGCCATGAGCTGACCCCTCAGAGCACAGGGATGCCCGAGGTGGTGCCCCTGCCCCGCCGGTCCACTTCCCCAGAAGCAGGCCGGCTTAGTGTCACAGAGCAACTGGCAGGTCTGAACCACCAACCTTCTCCCCATGGCCCGCACCTGGTTAGGAGCCAAGCTTCTGAACCATGGCACCCCAGATCTCTGACTGCACACACATCCCATGGTCGACGGTCAAAATTAAGAAAACATCACTGGCACCACACTATTGATTATGTTCCAGACTTTGCTTTTCACAGCCATCTTTTTTCTGTTCCAGGCTCCAGTGCAGGACCCCGCAGACACTGCACCTCTTCAGTCTCCTCAGCTGCTAGACACAGACATGTGACTCCAGCCTGGCCAGCAGGCCGTGAGCAGCAGTGCTGCTGTTACCTCCAGACTTTCTCACTAAAGGTTGGCCCATGAAGGTCTGCCCCCTTCCCACTGGCTGAGAAAGGTCCTGGACTAGAGCGGCTGCTCTGGCTTCTGACACGGAAGCCACATGTGCAGGAGAGCAAAGGACCACACCCCACACCCTACAGGCCCTGGCCTAATGGCTTATTTGTTACAGTGTATTTGTTATAGGATCATTTGTTACAGCAGCTTATCCTCTATCCTAACTGATACATGTTAGCCATACACACTCTACAGGAGTCAGAGTGAACACATTTTAAGATTAAGTCAAGGGTGACACATACTTACCTCTGCAGGAACGTGAGAAGCAAAGAAATCCTCCTCTTTTGGTGGAGGGGAGGAGCCTGGAACCACACAGCTGTCGAGCCACAGCTGGGACCAAAAACAAAAAACGAGCCTCGATTAGCCCGCAGCCAAGGCTTCCTCCCACGCCCCTCACTCCCCTCCCTGAGACCCCTGGCAGCACTGGGCTTCTTCCATTATTCTAGCATCCCGAGGTCTGACATGACTGCAGAGGGGCTCTGAGTACCCCTGACCCGTGTCCACCCTGGAAGCTGTGTCGCCCCGCTGTGTGAAGCCCAGTGCCCCAGACCCGCTGACCATTCCTGGAAAGGGGTCAAGCAAGGCTTCCTCTCTCAATGCAGGCTCCTCGGAGAAGGCTGGGGGTAAAGGGTGCCCGACGGGACTCACATCCGTGCCGTGCTTCCGTGTGGCCTGGGAGGCCAGAGACTTGACCTTCTCCCTGTAGAGCTGGGCGGCGCGGCTGTTGTACTTGAAGTTGGTGTCATTGGAGTCACACCCGTGCTGGTGGAAAAAGGAGGACTGGGGAAGGAATGGACACTGGTTATACAAACAGGGCCTGCAGGCCCCCAGGCTGACCGGAAACGCCACTTCATGCCCGCCTGGGGGAATTCTAAGTACTGTGGAAAACTCAGCAACTGAAACCTCAACAGTCCAAACACCACGCTGTTGTTGTTGTGTGCTGTCAAGTTGGAACCACACATAGCTGACCCTCCAGTGGGTTTTCAGAGGCTGTAAATCACACAGGAAGAGACTGCCTATCTCTCTCCTAGGGCAGCAGGGAGATTCCAAGTGTTTGCCTTTAGATTGGCAGTGCGATCCCTTTCCTCCCAGGACACCAGCACTCCCGTTGTTGTTACTGTTGTTGTTGTTGTTGTTAGGAACCACGGAGTCGAGGACGACCCGTGGCAAGCTGTGTATGTACAACAGATCTGAATCTGATGAGATTAAGACAGAGTTTCTGTAAAAAGGATTCAAATTTTTCTTGCCAAAAAAAAAAAAAAATGGAATTCTCTTCACCAATGTAATACTATGTTTTGGTAAAAACAGGTAAGAAACTTGCATCACAGGAGCTCTGGTGGTCTAGTGGCAAGAAACTGCGCTGCAATCCCGAAGGTACATGGTTTGAATCCACCAGATGCTCTGCTGGAGAAGGAGGGGTGATCTCCTCCTGTGTCAGTCAGGTCCAACTCAACAGTACACACACACACACCCCAATCTGCATCATAATGTGAAATAATTGGCCCTTTATCGCTCTGTGGTGCTGTGGTCAAGGAATCCAGCTGTGAACTTAACAAGTGCCCATCTGAACCCACCAGTGGCTCTGCTGGAGAAAACTGGACAGTCTGCTCCCCTCAGGACTCGCCTGGAAGCCCCGAGGGCGACCTGCTCCCCTCAGCACCCGCCTGGTAGCCCTGTGGGTGGTCCTGCTGTCCTCAGGGTCACGAGGAGACACAATTGACTCCATGGTAGTGGGTCTGGGGAGTTTGGTTTTGAGTTATTCTGAAATTTATGTTGGAAGCAGCCTTCCAGTCAGAGCAACTTTCACCTCAGGAGACGTCAAGTTCTAAATCGAGATTTTTAACCAACCAGTTAGGAACTATTCTAACATTCCCGTTTCTCTTTAACAGAAGCCACTACACAGGTAAGATGGCAAAGCACATGCAATTGGAGGAAACCACTGTCAAGCACTTGAGGACCCATGCACACTGTGATAGAGGCTAATGTGACTGGCAGAGGGCCCAGCAGAC